ATGTTCACAACATAATATTACAAGTAACAAAAAATAATATAATTGAATAATAATAAAAAATGTAATGGAATCGAAGTTGGCAACTTTTCTTATAGTTTAACAGGGAATAATTTAGACTGAAGGCAACAGTAAATGCTATAATGAATATGAAACTTGTGGAATACTTTTGCGTTTGATTAAATCGATTTAGAAATACGCGTGATTGATATGAGAAATTGCGGTCGTTCCCCTCCAAATCGTTGACTCGATTATCATTCAGAATTTTAAATGTATATTACGACTTTACCAAGTGTCAACCTATAAAGTGCGAGGAGTGCGAGAAAAAGAAATTCCTCGAGGAAGGGGAACATCAGTAAGTACGCGCATCGAAACACACGGGATATTAATCGGCATCGACTCAGTCCACATTCGACGTTTAGCGGGACAAGACCACCGGCAAGAAAAAATATAGTCCCGAGCGATGGATATCAGTTCGTTGATCTACAAATCGTCGCAGCAATCCGGTACAATTTCAACATTCCGTAATCCTTTTCCTCGCAGACCCTGGCTTACCGAGACTGGATCTGGAGCTGCGCCCGCCGGTGGTAATACCGGTCTCAAAGGAATTATAGCTGGTACATATATACTATTTTATTTTCGCAACGCATGTTAGTTGAACTTTTACGTAGGCTTAATACTTTTGTAATTGTCTATCCAAACATGACGATAAAATGAAAACACTCGGATAGAGAACGATAGAAGAATAACAATATGCATAAGTAAAAGCAAAAGAGGAAAAAAGATAGATAAACTGAGTCAGCGCAATCGGTACAACATGATAGATCCAAAGGTTGAGAAATATTAACCTTGGGGACACGTGTTAAAAATTTCTTTTTATTTAACGCTTTTTTCTCTTCTTCTCCTGTTTTTAAATTCATTATACTTTTCATTTAAATATGCATGTATCTATATATTAATTTCGTTCAATTAATTGTTAATTTTGTTTCAACGTACAACCATTTGTTAATGATAATAAATTAATTTTAATTGTAGGAGGTATTACTGGTGGCATAGAGATATGTATCACATATCCAACTGAATATGTGAAGACACAATTACAACTTGATGGGAAAGCTGGAGCTGGTAAAGAATATACAGGAATATGGGACTGTGTAACAAAAACTGTAAAAACACGTGGAGTTTTTGGCCTGTACAGAGGCCTCTCAGTATTAGTTTATGGTTCAGTGCCAAAATCAGCTGTACGGTTTGGTTCCTTTGAAACTGTAAAGCAACTATTAGTAGATTCAGAGGGAAAGCTTAGCAAAAAAATGAGTTTCCTGGCAGGTTTGTGTGCTGGCGCATCTGAAGCTATTTTTGCAGTTACCCCTATGGAGACTATTAAAGTGAAATTTATTAATGACCAACGATCTGCAAATCCGAGATACAAAGGGTTCTTACACGGAGTAACTATGATTACCAAAGAATATGGTAAATGCAAAGGAATTTTAATTTAGCATATCTAATCTTTACCTATTATTTTGTTTTAAAGCTAATCTGAATTTAAGAACAAACTAAAAAAAGTTAAAACGTCGGTCACTCAGTAGTGTTAAAAGAAAAACTTATTGCCTTGAACTGTATGTAAAGTGAGCCTAATCAACTTTATGTGAAGAGGTCAAGTTATATTGCACATTATTCTCAGTTTACACACGTGATAGACAATCATGTATTTCATTTCATTTTGAATGTAGATTTTTACACTTTGCCATGTACAGATGGAATCATAGAATTTAAACGTTTAAATGTTGGTCTTAAAATAATAACATACATGTTACTTTTGGCACATCAGGATTCAGAGGTGTATATCAAGGGTTGGCACCTACAATATTAAAACAAGGATCGAATCAAGCAATCAGATTTTGTGCCATGGAAACAATGAAAGAATGGTATAGAGGTGAAGATCCAAATGTGCATATACCAAAAATGGTTATTGGTACGTTTGGCGCAATTGCTGGGGCATTATCCGTTTTTGGAAATACTCCGATTGATGTTGTAAAGACCAGAATGCAGGTAAGATTTTATTGAGTATTAAGTTGGTAATGTACTAAGTTATAAATATGAATTGTCAAACTTAAACCGCTTCTAGGGCTTGGAAGCTGCAAAGTACAAAAATAGCTTAGATTGCTTTTTGCAAATATGGAGAAACGAAGGTCCAATGGCTTTTTATAAAGGAACCGTTCCGAGATTGAGCAGAGTATGTTTAGACGTTGCCATAACGTTTATGATCTATGATTCCTTTATGGATCTTTTTAATCGAGTTTGGCCTTGAAGAATTGGCTAAAACTGTAATTGTATGCTTGAAATTGTCAGTGCAAATGTAGCTCTCAGGATTACTACAGTTACACCTCACGCTCACATTATTACATTTGAAAAACGTTTTCGTTTTTAACATGATACATATAAATTATAATTTATTAAACATTTCATTCAACGAAGCAAACATGACACTGTGCCAAAGGATTTTAATTTTGGCATTAATGAACTTCAATAGTGAAAGCTACAGTTGCACAGAGCACAAATTTTATTATATATTTTTTTACATAAATTTTTATTTAATGTGCGATCCACACGCGAGAAGAGAAAATAATGTGAATTTCATTCACAATCGTTTCAATTATGTCTACAAATATTGTTTTTCACTGATTATATCAGTTTATAAATTATTTAAAATGCTGTTAGATGGAAACATTCCTACAAATTCTAGTTAGTCGAATGAATATTTATATTGTGCAAGTGATTTGTATCTATGAGTAATATATGTACATATATATTTGATCTATTTTAGGAAATATTGTATAGTTTTAGTACAAAAAATAATAAAAAATGTTTATTACCTGAGCGAAGAACGATAAATGAATTTTGTTTAGTATAATGAGAACCAGAAAACGGACTACTCGAAAATTCTTGAAAGTTTATATTTGACAGATTCATTTACATTCCAGTAATTACAACAATCTTCGCTCAGATACTGTTATGAATATGTATGAAAAAAAGTTTCATTGTAATGGCTGTGAGATTCAAATGAAGATAATCAGATACATGTTCCTTCAAAATAAGAATTTTGTAATCTCATAATAAATACAAAACATTCATTCTACTCTACTTTTTAACAATACAAGAACATTGGTAATCTTTTGTACATTAAAATGTGTTTTCGAACAATATTTTATGAAATTCAATATTTCTAATGCTGTATTTTATGGAATGTAATATTTCTACGTGGTTGTAAATAATTTGTCTTACGAATTGTAATATTCTTGCAATAAAACGTTATATTTATAACATTTGTAAACAATACATTAGCACAGATTTACTGTTAACATCTACATTATCTTAAGATATATTTTTTATGCGTAAAAGTTAGATGAAATAATTTAATTGTTATAGTGTGTAAAAATAATTCGTAAAACATATCTTTACGTATTTTCCTCGCGCGTGACAAGTCTTCGTTTTCGTGCACGTATACGTACATGAAAGCGTAACGTATGGGAGTATGTGCGTAAAGTGAGGCCCAGCAGACAGTGCCGGTCCCACTCTGGGCCCAAGGGGGGGCCCAGGGGTCACATTCCAAGATGGCTGTGCCCGAGGAATGCAGTGGGTGCCCTCCTAAGACGCCTTCCTCCCTCCTTTTTTATTAATCGAATCAATTCACTTATCCTAGCCAACACTCTGATTACTAGAACGAAGTAGTTAATGTCAACGTGTATCCGGTGAGTGCCATCGAAATTTGGCAGTAACACTTTTGCAAAAGATAAACGTGAATGAAGAGAAGAAAAGCTGTGCGCGAAGACGTAGAACGGTCTTATACCCTAAAATGTGTAATCTTATCTAATGAAGTTCCCTTGCTACAGATAATGCTCATGCAGGAGGATGCTACCTGCTCGTCTTAAGCAATGTCTCATAGGGATATCTCTGAGGTAACAAGACCCTGTGGTGCACTATGCACATTATTATTATTATAACGATTTGCAATTAAATTGCATTTTATTTTACAGAGCTATGTGCTCCTTCCGATTTTTTGTTTGTTATGAAAAATGGCTTGACGTTTACACTTTTTATGATATGTTGTATTAAGAAAGTTGTGTATACTAAAATGCAAATCCTGTGGTTTTAATAGTACAAGAATTTCATTAAAACTTGTACTTAAGCTATACTGTATCTTTAATCATGTCACGATTAAAAGAAGTTATAAATTGCATATGAATATTTAAGGTGGAGCCCGAAGGTACGTCGGCCTTGGCTGCAGGATCAAGATCTCTATTTTTAGAGACTGTACGTCGTAGTAATGCAGCATGTCAGAACGGTGATTATGCTCTTGCTGCAAGCTTGTACACAGAAGCACTTGCTTTGGATCCACTCAGCCATGTGCTATATTCAAACAGGTCAGCTGCTCGGCTCAAAATGGGTTTATTTGCACTTGCTCTTCAAGATGCTGTTAGAGCTACTGAACTTAGCCCCCAATGGCCAAAGGTATATCACCTATTTCGTCCGGTTTCTGTTTTTTCAACAGTTGATGCATCCAGTGATACGTTTTATTAGGCATACTATCGTCAAGGAGTAGCACTACAATGCCTAGGCAGACATGGAGAGGCTCTCGTGGCCTTCAGTACGGGGTTGGCACATGACCCTTCCAATTGTCAACTGTTATCTGGTCTTGTGGAAGCATCTTTAAAATCACCGTTACGCGCGACATTGGAACCGACGTTTCAACAATTGCGTGCAATGAAACTTGACGAATCTCCTTTCGTTGTTATTTCTGTCGTTGGCCAAGAACTCCTTGGAGCAGGGCAGTACAAAGCAGCAGCGGGTGTATTAGAGGCTGCGCTTACTATTGGTTCTTGTAGTTTGAAATTAAGAGGCTCTGTGTTCTCTGCTTTATCCAGTGCGTATTGGGCATTAAATTCTTTGGATAAAGCTATCAATTACATGCAACAAGATTTAGGTGAACATTAAAGACAGACGAAATTACGGACACGTAACGATAAACGATAGTGTTTCAATTGAAAATATTTGCAGGTGTCGCACGATCATTAGGAGATACACAGGGCGAATGTCGAGCTCATGGAAATCTGGGCTCAGCATATTTTAGCAAAGGCAGTTATAAGGAAGCTTTAACAGCGCACAGGTATCAATTGGTTTTAGCTATGAAGTGCAAAGACACTCAGGCTGCCGCGTCAGCTTTAACTAGCCTGGGTCACGTTTATACAGCTATTGGTGATTTACCAAATGCGCTTGCATCTCATAAGCAGTGTGTACAGTTAGTAAAACAAATGGGAGATCGACTTCAAGAAGCCAGAGAAATAGGGAACGTTGGAGCGGTTTATTTAGCAATGGGTGAATTCGAAAGTGCTGTTGATTGTCATACGCAACACTTGAGAATTGCAAGACGATTAGGAGATCGTGTGGAAGAAGCAAGAGCTTTTAGCAATTTGGGTTCGTCTCATCATTATCGACGAAATTTCGGTCAAGCGATGGCTTATCATGAAAATGTGCTGAGAATAGCTCAAGAATTAGGCGACAGAGCAATAGAAATGAGAGCTTATGCTGGACTGGGTCATGCTGCGAGATGTGCAGGTGAACAAACTTTTAGAATAAGAGACTTGAAGAGACAAATATTTTCGTTGTAATATTCTCATCAATTACATATATCTTTATTTAGGCGACCTTGCTCAAGCAAAACTGTGGCACCAGAGGCAACTCGATGTCGCTTTAGCCACGAAAGATAAAGTCGCCGAAGGGCGAGCGTGTAGTAATTTAGGAATAGTTTATCAACTGCTCGGTGAACATGAAGCTGCACTCAAATTACACCAGGCTCATTTAGGAATTGCCAGGTCGTTAGGAGACAAAGCTGGTATGGGTAGAGCATATGGAAATATTGGAAATGCTTATAATGCACTAGGATATTACGAACAAGCTATCAAATATCATAAACAAGAATTAACGATAAGCAAAGAGGTACACTGTTTAATGAAAACTATTAAAAATCATTTTGAAGATATATTTATCATAAAAATTGTTTAACGTAGGTTAATGATCGTAGTTCAGAAGCTAGTACTCATGGGAATTTAGCAGTGGCATATCAAGCTGTACAGGGTCATGAAGCAGCGTTAAGACATTATAGAGCTCATTTAGCTATAGCACGCGAGTTAAAAGATACAGCTGGCGAAGCGTGTGCCTTATTAAACCTTGCCAATTGTCTGTCATCTCGTGGCAGATTCGAAGAAGCGGTTCCATATTATGAAAATTACCTTATGTTATCTCAGGAATTACATGATGTAGAGGGAGAAGCTAAAGCATGTCACTTCCTTGGTTATGCTCATTATTGTTTAGGCAATCACCGTGAAGCTGTTAGATACTACGATCAGGACTTGGCGTTAGCCAAGGATTTACAAGATAAGTCTGGAATGGGTAGAGCATACTGTAATTTAGGATTGGCACACTTAGCTCTTGAAAATTTAGATACGGCACTCGAATGTCAAAAATATTATTTAGGTAAGAAGTTCGTGTATCTACGTATCTGCGGTAAAAAGTACCGAAATACATGTATCCCTCTTCTATTAGCTATCGCGCACATGACCAAACATTTAGCTGGAAAATTTCGTGCTTTGGGAAATATCGGTGATTGCCTTTTGCGCCTTGGTGAAGCTGAAGAAGCAATAAAAATGCATCAACGGCAATTAAATTTAGCAAGGCAAGCGGGTGATCGCAGTTTGGAAGCTGCCGCTTATGGAGCTTTAGGTATCGCACATCGGACGATAAAGAATCTTGATAAAGCATTAGGATTTCATACCCAAGAATTAACTTTAAGACAAGAAGCTGGAGATTTACGTGGCGAGTGTAGAGCTCATGGAAACTTAGGTGCTGTGCACATGGCTCTAGGCCAATATACACACGCAGTGAAATGTTATCAAGAACAGCTTGAGAGAGCAAAAGAATTAGTAGATTCAGGAGTTGAAGCACAAGCTCTAGGTAATTATACATAAATTCTAAGTTGCAAAATCTACATTTATAATGATGGCATCATATCTTTTCATTAAACAGGAAATTTAGGAATAGCGAGGCTCAATATGGCACATTATGAGGACGCGATTGGATATTTTGAACAACAACTAGCAACTTTAGAACCATTAACTACGGGCACAGCTTTGCTAAATAAGGCTAGAGCACTTGGAAACTTAGGCGATTGTTATGAAGCTTTAGGGGATCCAGAGGAAGCTATTAAATGTCATGAGCAGCAATTGGCGGCTGCTGTAAAATTAAAAAGTATAAGGGAACAAGAAAGAGCGTATCGAGGTTTAGGTCGAGCTAGAGAGGCAACTGGTAATTTACAGGAAGCATTGGTTTGTTTTGAGAAAAGATTAGTGACTGCGCATGAAGTCGACAGTCCAGAATCGAGAGGTGCGGCTTACGGAGATTTAGGTAATTAATGCCACACGTTATAAATGTGCTTATTATTTCTTTCTTCGTACATTAAAAATTAATAACATTACTTTTGCAGGCCGTGTACACGCTGCATTAGGTAATCACGAACAAGCCGTTAGTTGCTTGTCTCATCAATTAGCTCTTGCCAGAGGACTTGGAGATAAAGCTGCCGAAGCAGAAGCTGCTAGTGGATTAGGAGCTGTACATTTATTAATGGACGATCCAAATTCTGCATTGAGACATCACCAATTAGAACTTTCGATCGCTGAAGCTTTGGACGCAGCTGGATTACAAGCTAGAGCCTGTGCAAACTTAGGGGTGACTCAAGAAGCCTTAGGACAATTTGAAGAAGCAATAAGGTTACAAGAGCAATCGTTAAGTTTAGCAGCAGCAGCTGGAGATCAGCCGGCAAGAGCAGCTGCATTTTCCAATTTAGGACGACTTCATCATTTGTGTGGTGACTTGTCACGAGCTTTAAGTTATTTACAATCCGGATTATCACTATCTGAAGGTTTGGGACGAAGAGAAGAGGCAGCCAGGTTGAGACACAGGCTTGGTCTCGTTCACTGGGAAGCGGGAGAAGCGATTATTGCTGTCGAACATTTAGAAAAAGCAGCAAATTTGTTAGAATCATTGGATGGAGTTTCGTCGACCCTCAGCTGTGGACAGCCAAACAAATCTGAATTGTTATCAGAAACATATAGGATGTTACAGAAAGTGTTAATTAGTTTAAATAGAGCTGAGGAAGCCTTGAACTGGGCAGAAAGATCGAGACGAAGTAAAAGCAATTGTTTGGATGATGCCGCGCATTACTCCGAAATCATCGACAGACAACGAGGAGTTATTTTATATTATAGGTAATTTAAATTTATCAGTAAATAATATAAACGAATCGCAATTGTATTAAATTATAAGTAAACGTGGAATAACATTTTAGCGAAGTAGGATGTGAATTACACGCTTGGTGCTTAGCCCCTGGTCGAGGTTTATTGCGATTTCACTCTACTAATTTGGACGACGGTATAGGATTGGAAAAACGAGTCTTGCAAGCAAGAGAAGCTTTGTTAGATGAAACGAGTGATCTCGTAGAGGAAACGAAAATACCATCGAGAGGACACCATCTTAATGCTAGCTCGTATAGTTTAAGCAGTCTGTTTAGCGTGGGTTCAGTTAGTTCGCGAGCAGGGAGTGCTCGATGGGGACGAGGAACTAAAGGACCTACGTGGCAATCACCGTTGCCGATTCAAGTACTCTATGATCTGCTCCTATCGCCGTTTGAAGATCTTTTACCACCAGCAAGAAAAGAGCTGATTATGGTAGTGGAGAAGTCATTATATTTGGCACCACTTCCAGCTTTACAATCAAATCCTGGAGAAGATTATTTATGTGAAAGATTTTCTTTACTAGTTGTACCGTCTCTTGCAGCTCTAAGAAAACGGTCAAAAACTCCTATGCCAGAGGGAGGTGCAACTGTAGCTGCACTAGTTGCAGGGAATCCTGTGCTCCCTGAGGAACTTAGAGAAGAGTATGGATGGTCTGAAAGCACTGCTTCTACCGAAACAGAATCTGAGATTGTTGCTGAATTACTAGAAGCCCGCGCTTTAACTGGTAGGATTTGACACGAACCTTCGTACGAGAAAAACTAAAAAAGAAAAAAATTTGCTAAAAAATTATTTTTCATCAATAGGGGCAGAAGCAACCAGGTCCGCAGTTTTAAGATCTTTACCTGATGCGGAATGTGTGCATTTAACCGTACCAGTGTTTTGGAATTCAGCCAGTTTAGCTTTAACTCCCGATCCTTGCGAAGATTCTTCCGTCAGACCGGAATATTTATTAAGTTACTCTGATATTTCGAAATTAAAAATAGCCGCCCGTTTAGTCGTAATATCTAGCGGTCATGGTTGGAATAGCACAGAAAATGCAACTACTACGTCAGACGGTGTGCAAAATTTTGCCAAAGCTTTATTAAATGCGGGAGCACAGTGTGTACTTATAGGAATGTGGGCCGTACCGCCTACTGCTGGTAGTATATTACTGCGAGCATTTTATAGTGCTATGCTGCAAGGAGCTAGAGCATCGAGAGCTTTGGCAGAAGCTATGCAAACAGTACAGCATACAAGGCATTTTGCACATCCTGCAAATTGGGCTGGTTGGTTACTCATTGGCGGAGATGCAAGATTGTCTAACAAGGTAATCTTGACGAATTTATTAAGCTTAAGTTAAGCTGGTATTTTGTTCGTATACACGCAATATATACGTATTTAGGTTGCTTTAATGGGACAAGCACTGGCTGAATTACTGCGCGGTGGTCCTGAACAGAGTCGCGATGCTTTACGCGTGACTCTTCATTTAGTAGAAAAATCATTACAACGGATACATCGTGGACAAAAGAATGCTATGTATACAACGCAACGTAGCATCGAAAACAAAGTGGGCGCGGCCACTGGTTGGCGAGAACTTCTGATGTCAGTAGGTTTTAGATTCGAACCTGCTGGAAACGGAATACCATCTTCCGTATTTTTCCCACAAAGCGACCCGGAAGAAAGACTAACAAGATGCAGCGCGAGCTTACAAGCACTGTTAGGATTGGGACCATCATCCTTACATGCACTCGCCAGATTGTTGCAGGTAATAGATGGGTCTGCTTGTTATGGCACAACGATCAGCAATTTATTCAATTCAAGTTTTACCTATTACATTTTGAAGGCGCCAGAAGCCGCAGAAGATGTTATCGCTGCGATGAGAAGGGCCACTTGTGCAACGGAAGGCCAAGAAGTTACGCTGCCAGTGCAAGTATGGAGAGCATCAGGATCTCATGAATTATTTGCAAGTTTAGGTTTTGACCTTATGGAAGTTGGTCAGTCGGAAGTTACATTAAGAACGGGAAAGCAAGCATCGAGAAGAGCTGTTCAATTTGCTCTTCAGGCTCTGTTAGCCTTATTCGGTGAGCAGTATTTCCGTATAAAGAGAAGCATAAATAAATTATCCTACATGAATTTCGAATCTTTATTAGATACACAAGAAGCACCGAAAAGTTTGACTTTGGACTCTAGTAGTTCAATGGAAAGCTTGGCTTCCATTACTCACATCGAGAAGAATGTCATAGAACGTCCTAGACTAGGGGGAGCATTCGCAAATTATGTTCGACACCGAGGCGAACCAGATGGGAAAACTATGGAACCAACCAATGTTCCAATTCCTACATCGAGGCAACCATGTCAGAACGGGGGAGGTATAATATAAATTTGTTTGCAATTTTTATGAACTGTGACAGTTAGATCTAGGATTATAATTATATGTGTACTTTGTAGGTGAATCGGATGTAGCTTTTACACCTAGTCCTCCCGTAGCGCTCAACTTAAATCATCAAACACGCATCAGAAATCTTTATCCTGATCAAAGTATAAGACCAGGTTCTAGTTCAAGTAGTTCAGTAACGGATTGGGATAACGGTCACGCGACTGTTTTGAGGCGACAGCCATTGCCACCTTTACCGGCAACGGTACTAGAAAGATTAAGCGTTAGAACAGAAATTGGATCCAATTCTCCGAGAAAACCTCGGCATCCTACAACGACTGAAGATATTTGTCCTCAGACCGATTCAACGCAACCCACAGAAACGCATAATCAAAATTTAAGAAATGTGGCCACGTCTCTCACGAGTTTAACGCGTGAATTGACGCCCACAATTTCAGATGTATACCATGAACGAAATTTAGGATTAGGACTGGCACCATCTTTATCGAAACTGTTAGAAGAAGTGGGTTCGGTTTCCGGAAATGAAGAAAATCAGTCGACTCGCGCGAACCATAATCAGACGCAAAATTGGATGCAAAACGAGTCGGAATTATGTCGAAGGGACGAGGCTGATGGCAGATCTATTGCTGAATCACAATGCAGCGCTACCAGCTCTAACAAAATACATCGAAAAGCACCTCCTCCTCCAGTGTAGATTATTTATATATTATTTATAAGCATTAAATAATACTTTACATGAGAATAATAGCACGAGGTACCAAAGAATGGAAGATATTTTATTGGAAAAAAACTTTCAATGTCTTGTGATCAGAGCTGGTAATAATTTATGATAATTACTTGTTGTGTTGCAATATGATTCTACTTATGAATTTTCAACCCTTAAATAATATAAACATCAGTAAATGCCATTTTTTGCTTACACTGATAACTAATAAAATTTAATATGAAAAATGTATCGTTTATAATGGCACCCCAATGCTATTCCTATAACTTGTTAATACAAAAATGTATTATACTAACGTACATATGAACATTGTTCATACATGGATGTTATGTTGCGAGTTATCGATTATGATGTATTATTATATATTAAATGCTACCAGTGGTTGAAATTGTCTTACGTACTTTGATATCATATTTAAGTTAATTGTATAAACTGCATCGAAAGTCTGTACTTTTTCATTTTTGATAAATATATGTTTATCAGAATGATGCATTTTGTGAAATCACTTTCTTTTTCATATAAATTATTACATGCAAGTTTTCTTACTTGTACACCTCGCAATATATTTGCTCGTATTGCTATGCTTGATTATCTTTCAATATGTGAATGGAAAGTTCTATTGTTAATAATAGCCACA